AGGTGCCACAGGATGATCTGACATGGTGCTGCCAGTTCATCCTCTCTCTTATCGCTGGGCTGGGTGGGCCAGGGCAGTGCTGATGCTTTGCTGGGGTTTCTGCTCTTTTTGATGGGTTTCTGTTCAGAAGCTCCTTCAGAGGAAGGAGCTGTGTGGCTTCAGTGGGACACAGTGTGTCAGGCTGTTCTCCAAGGGCATCTCCCCCTGCCACACGAGGTGTCCAGTGGGATGGCCTTGTCCTGTGCTTGTACCTATTGGGGTGGAAACTGCCACAGTGCAGGTGTCTTTAAACTTGGAACCTGGCACTTGCTTCCCTTGGTATTTCAATATTTAAAGTGGGTTTATTTGTATCCCAGACCATAAGATCAGGAGAATTACCTCTGGGTGAATTAGGTGCTACATTCTGTCTGTCTGGAACAGCACAGGTGCAGGTTTGGTGCTGTTAACCTGCTCATACACATCCTTTAACCCATGTCTTCTCTTTCAGGTACAAAACTGGCAAGAATAAGTGGTTCTTCCAGAAGCTGCGATTCTAAAGGTGTAACGAGGTTGCATCAATAAATGTTTATTAAAAACCACGCCTTTTTTGTTATTTAACAAACAAGCAGTGGCCTTTGTGGTGTGGTCATGCTTGCTCTGTGTCTCTAAGAGCTGGGGAAGCCATTGCAGTCCAGGGGAGCAGGGGCTGCGTCAAGTTTTAAATCCAAGAGTGGGGCAGGAATGGACCAGTTTATATTTGGTAGCTGGTCCATTCAGAATAGTTTATATTAGTAGCTGGTTCGTGTGGAGGAGTTTCTATTTACTAGCTGGTCCATTCAGAAGAGTTTATTTCCATATTTCATACCTGGTTCATTTGGAAGAGTTAATTTCTATATTCAGTAGCTGGTCCGTTAGGAAGAGTTTATGCCTATATTTACTAGGTGGTCCATTCAAAACAGTTTATTTCTATATTTAGTAGCTGGTCTGTTCAGAATAGTTTATTCCTATATTTTCTAGTTGGTCCATTTGGAAGAGTTAATTTCTATATTCAGTAGCTGGTCCTTTAGGAAGAGTTTATGCCTATATTTACTAGGTGGTCCATTCAAAACAGTTTATTTCTATATTTAGTAGCTGGTCTGTTTGAAAGTTTATATTCAGTAGCTGGTCTGTTCAGAATAGTTTATTCCTATATTTTCTAGCTGGTCCATTTGGAAGAGTTAATTTCTATACTTAGTAGCCGGTCCGTTTGGAAGAGTTAATTTCTTTATTTACTAGCTGGTCCGTTTGGAAGAGGTTATACTTAGTAGCTGGTCCGTTCGGATGAGTTTATTCCTGTATTTAGCAGCCGGTCCGTTCCTGGCAGCCAGGTGGGTGCTCGGAAGGCGAGCTCGGGGCGGGGATGGAGGAAGAGGAGGCGGTGATGAGCTACCGGACGGGGCTGGGCGGGCCCCGCGTTCCGCCCTGGCCGGGGCTGCGCTCGGAGGGGCCGGGGCGGGGCGAGTTGGCGAAAACGAAAGCGAAAGGCGAGAACGGGTCCCCGGTAGCACGGAGGGAGTAGGGAGAGCGGTCCCGGTGAACAGCGCAGGGCTCCCCGCGGGACCGGGGATGGATTCGGAGGAGGTGAGGAAGAGCCGAGCCGCAGGGAGAGGCGGGCGGGGGGCGGCGCAGCGCGGCTGAGACCCCTCCTGTCTTTAGGAATCCTTCGTCCGGCTGCAGGACGAGAGCCTGCCGAGCCCCGAGCAGCTCCGGCAGGAGATCGAGCGCTGCAAGGTGGGTCCGGCTGCTCCGAGAAGGGTTGGGCGGCCGCGTCCCAGCTGTGCGGGGTCCGCCCTGGCCAGGAGCTCGGGTGTTCTCTGAGAGTCAGAGGCGGCAGAGAGGAGCAATCCCCTGGAGGGGAGAGCCTGTTCTGGGGCACAGCCTGTGCCGGGGCTGCCTGGCTGGTGGGGGGGATGGTGTTGTCAGGGTGTTGCTGTCTGATGGTGCCTCTCACAGGAGCTTTACAGTGCTCTGGAGAAAGAATGTGCAAAGCTACAATCGGCCAAGGAAGCTGCAGAGCAAAGGACACAGGAGCTGAAGAAAGAAGAAGAACTTCATAAAGTTTTAGAGCAACAGCTGTCTTTAAATGGAGATGAAGAAAGAGCACGCCAGGTCAGTGTTCAGTGCATGGCCTAGGTTTGGAAGGGTGGCAGGGGCTGCAGGATGCAGGTCACTGCTCTGAGATCACTTGCCTGGGGTCTGCTGGAGGTTTCATGGGGAACACAAGGCCTGTGCTGAGAAGTGAGGCAGTGCTGCAGCGAGGGGAGAGCTGTCCTCAAAGGAGAGGAACCAGGACAGAGCTGCAGGCAGTCAAGAGCAGAATAGAGCTGTGTGCCCAGGAACAGTGCTGTGCTCAGAACAGAAATGTGCTGCAGCCCTTTGTGTCCTGGTGTTCCCTACTTCCCATTCTGTCCTTACTTCCTTCTTTCCCTCCTTCCTTCTAGATTTTTACAATAAGGGAGGAGAACAAGAGACTGAGGCTGGAGAAGCAGGTTCTGAACAATAAACTGGAAGAATTGAAGAAGAGGGTCTTCTGGAATGATCCTGTGAAGGTAACAGAGTGTGTGTGGGCACTTGGGTCTGCTGGCAAGGGCGCAAGCCTGGCTGGAGAAGCTGCAGGTGAATGCAGCTGGGCACTGTGTGATGATTGGAACAGCTCCTCTGCCAGGGCCAGGAGCTCTGGTCGTGCTTTGGGATTCCAGGCACAACCAGACACTAGGAGAGACTCTGCTGAGGTTCTCCAGCAGTTTATTTGAGCCATGAGGTTATTTCTAGTCCATGGATTGGCATGGACATGCCCTGTGCAGGGTCCAGTCTCCTCCACGTGCTGTCTCTACTTGTACCTAGATACTGTCTGCCCTGCCAGAAAAGAAAATGATCTTTAAGGGACTCCCAGCAAACAAGGAGGACATGAACAAGCTGATGCTCACCCCACTGATCCGCTGCCCTCTGCCAGGGGGCTCAGCTCTCATCACCTTTGAGGAGGCAGAGGGTAAGTGTGAGAGGAGCACTGCTCTGGCCAGGTGTCCTCGATCACTTTGGAGCCTGCTCTGTGTCCCCTCCCTGTGCCAGAGCTTGGTGCTCCCTCTCTCCCTGCCTTTATGGGGCTGTGCCCCCTCCCCAGCACCTTTGCTGTGCCATGTCCTGTCCTGGAAAGCGCTGGGCAGTCACTCCCCTGTGCTGGGGGCTCTCCCTGCCCACAGTGGCCCAGAGGATCATAGAGATGAAGGAGCACACGGTGGAGCTGAGCTGTGGGCAGCTGGAGGAGCTCGACCAGTGCAGGGTGAAAGTACAGGCAGTGCCCATGGACATCCTGCTGCCATCTGCCCTGGAGGTAGGGCCCGTGGGTCCCCATGCCATGGGGGTGCCCTGGGCACGCTGCTTCCCCTGTCTGAGCCTGCCTTGATCAGGGCACTGCTCCCCTGAGCTCTGGGCCAGTCCTGCCCTGGCACTGACTGGCTGGTGTCATCCACAGATCAGGCTGACACAGAGTAGCAGGAGCATCCTTGTGTCTGACCTGCCCAGCCTGAGCATCTCCAAGGAGGCACTGCTGGACAAGCTGGAGCTCTTCTTCAGCAAGACAAAGAATGGGGGCAGCGAGGTGGAGAGCAGAAATTTCCTGGAGGACTCTCAGCAGGTGGTGCTGACCTTCACACGGGATGGAGGTGCGTGGGGTGTGCTGGCAAGGGCGGAGCAGCCCAGCCTGCTCTGGGGAGAAATCTCCTGAGAGCAAAGGAAGCTGTCTTTAAGGAGCAGGGAAGATAGAGTGAGCCCCAGGCTGTCCTGCCTCCCCCAAAACTGTGCTGGTGTGGGTGAGCTGAGCAATGAGCTGGGCAGTGTCAGCCTTGGTGCCTATGCCAGGGACAGAACCTCCCCTGGAGCTGACCTGGGCAGCTCAGGGCTTTCCTCTCCATATGCAGTGGCAGAGCCGCTCATTGAAAGAGGACATATCCAGGTGCCCATTGGGAAAGGGAAATACAAAATCAAAATATCACCATACATGAGTGGAGACATCTCTAACCTGCAGGTAAGGGCATGAACCCCGTGAAAGCAGCTCCTCCCAGCCTGGGTGGAGGCAGCACAGCTGAGGGGGCTCCTGAAGCCCCTCTGCCCTGCCCTCACCCCCTGCTCTGCCCAGCTCCAGCCCTCCCGCTGCCCCAGGACCGTCCTGCTCCTGGGCATCCCCGATGTGATGAGCGTGGAGTCCATGAGAGACGCCCTGGAGATCCACTTCCAGAAGGCCAGCCGCGGCGGCGGCGAGGTGGATGCGCTCGCCTACGTCCCAGCGGGGCGGACAGGGGTGGCCGTGTTCGTGGAGGACACTGCGGGCTAGTCCTGGCCAGATACGGGCTGGTCCTGGCCAGATACGGGCCGGTCCTGGCTCAGCCCGAGGCTGAGGAGCTCCGTGCGTCCGTTGGCCCGCGGGCACGGGAGAAATTAAAAGTGTCTGTTGGAAGCACCCACCGCGTCTGTTGTGTTGGGGCCGGGCCGGGCGTTGCCTGCAGGGCCGGGGCGAGGCTGAACCCCCTCCCGGCCGTGCTCTGAGGGGCCGGGGCGAAGCTGAACCCCCCCCCCGGCCGTGCTCTGAGGGGCCGGGGTGAGGCTGAGCCCTTCCCCGGCGTGCTGTGAGGGGCCGGGGTGAGGCTGAACCCCCTCCCGGCCGTGCTGTGAGGGGCCGGGGTGAGGCTGAACCCCCTCCCGGCCGTGCTGTGAGGGGCCGGGGTGAGGCTGAGCCCTTCCTGGCCGTGCTCTGAGGGGCCGGGGTGAGGCTGAGCCCTTCCTGGCCGTGCTATTAGGGGTCGGGGCGAAGCTAAGTCCTGAGGGGCCGGGCGGCGCCCTCCCGCGGGCCCAGGGCGGAGCGGCTCCGCTTTCGCTTTCGTTTCCTCGCGGCGGCGGGGTCGGGGCGGCGGCCGGAGCGGTGGGAGCGGGCGGCGAGGCCGTTCCGGTGCGGCGGGGCCCGGGCAGCCGCCGCCGCCGCCGCGGGCATGGCGGGCCGCACGGTGCGGGTGCAGGGCTTCCCCGCCGAGCTGCCCCCCGACAGGGCGGCCGACAAGCTGACCATTCACTTCCTGCGCTCCCGCAACGGCGGCGGCGACATCGCCAACGTCCGGGTGCTGCCCGGCTCCCTGCCCTGCGCCCTCATCACCTTCGAGGCGCCGGAAGGTAACGCCCACGGGACCCTCGGGGGCCTGGCCTGGCCCACCTTCCCCAGCCCCTCTCTTCCCTTTCCCACCATCCCCAGCCCCTCTGTGCCCTGTCCCACCACCCCCAGCCCCTCTCTTCCCTTTCCCACCATCCCCAGCCCCTCTGTGCCCTGTCCCACCATCCCCAGCCCCTCTCTTCCCTTTCCCACCATCCCCAGCCCCTCTGTGCCCTGTCCCACCTTCCCCAGCCCCACTCTTTCCTGTCTGACCATCCCCAACCCTGACATTGCCTTGCCCACCCTCCCCTGTCCACCATCCTCTGTCCTGCCCCTGTCTCGCTGTCCCCAGCCCCACCATCCCCTGTCCCACTGTCCCCCACCCCACTGCTGTCCCTTGGCTGGGCTGACAGAAGTCTGGGTGGCTTTTCCCACCAGTGGCCCAGAGGATCCTGCAGGTGAAGAACCACGTGCTGGCAATTGGGAAGACACAGTACCCGCTGGAGGTGACACCCCACGCTTCAGAGCTGAGCCCCAATGAGGTACTGAGGGGATGTGGCAGCCCCAGCTGCTCCCACACAGACTCTGTGCCTGGCAGACAGCTTGAGGAGGGAGACCTCACTCTCTCCTTTCATCTTAATTACACTTAAATCCGTCCTCATTCATATTCAAATGAAGATTTTTTTTTTCCCCCCTGTGCTAATAGCAGAGGGACAGGCAGGCAGGCTGTGCTCTCAGTCATCTGGCATTTGTGCCTGTCAGTTGGAGGGTAGTCAGGCTGGAAGAGAACAGGCACTTTTCCCCAGTCCATCTGGTGCCACACAGGGGATCCTGTTAATGCCTCTGCCATGTCATCAGCTGGATTCACAGTGTATTTTTCCTCTTTCCTTCTCAGGAAAGCTTAGCATACAGACATGCTGGTGTCAGGAAAGCTTAGCATACAGACATGCTGGTGTCTGGGGAGCACTGGAGAGTTCTTGCCTCTTCCTCCAGTCTCAAGGGACCGTGGCTGTAGCCATGTCTCATGTTTTCATATCTGAGCCCCCAAAACAGGGGCATGGGAATTAGCCTGGCCTTGCAGACCTTTTTGCAAGCCTGTGGTGCCAAAACTGCTTGAAGAGCTGGAGCTGAAGCTCTGCAAAGGCAAGAGAGCAACTGCATTTCAGAAGCAGAAACAATAGTGGATTTCTTGGGTTTGGGCTTTTTGAAGAGCTCCCAGTGTGTAGAAATGTAGCCCTGTCTCTGTGCAATTTCCCCCTCTGATTCCTTGTTTGCAGAAAGCTTTTGACAAGTGCACAAGGTCAAAGAGTTGCTTAGTCTGGGTCTTTGGTCCTGTCTGTGTCAGGGTCCATCTCCTGAAAGCAGGATGCTGAGGGAGAAAGGTGGAAGAGTGTGTCACAGTAATTCAGGGGCCACTTGCCTTCTGTGCCTCTGAAAGGGGCTGGTTTTGGTCCTTGCTCTCTCACTCCCTTGCTGTCTACTTGCAGATCTTCATACACGTGAGCATGACAATTGACTATGGCAAGCTGCCCACGGGCAAAACCCTCCTGAAGGACTTGCACAAAGAGTACAGCAATGTACACTTCAGCTTCGACTCCAAGAACATGCAGTGCATAGTGCAGGGCCCATTCACTGAGCTGCAGACCTTCAGCAGAGACCTTCTCAGCAGCCTGAACCTCAAGAACCAAGCCAGTGGCCAGATCCTCCTGCCAGCTTCCAGCTGTGGGGCCAAGGAGATGGGAATGCCTGATCAGCAGCAAGTGCCTGACTCCACTGAGCCAGCCCAAGAGGCAGCAAAGCTGCCAGATTGTGACCAGGTGCAGGAAATGGCAGCTAAAGAACCATCACCTCAGAGCCCAGTGGGTGAGGAAGCTGTGGAACTTTTGGGGAAGCTGGAGGACTTTTCCCTCGCCATGGACTCGGACATTTACTTGTACATGCAGAGGTTCTGTGCTGCCGAGTACCAGGGTGTGCTGCAGCAGCACCACGTGGATGTGGTGGATGTCAGTGGCGATGGCATTGCTGTGTTGTACCTCCAGCCATCTGGAGGAGTGTCTGGGGACACAGAGGCCTTGAGGCAGGCCCAGCTGGCCCTGCAGCAGCTCTACCAGCAGCTGGAGGTGAGCCTGCGCAAGGAGAAGATTGCAAAGAAAGGGCTGGAGATGGACAGCCAGGCTCTCAGGGCTCTGACACGTGAGCTGCAGGAGCTCTATCCCCAGCTGCTCTGCCATGAGGATGTGAAGCAGCTTTATCTCGTTGGAAGCCTGGTTGATGTGTGCAAGGCCAAGCAGTTCCTTGAGGATTCTGTCACCAGGAGAAGTGCTGCACGCACGGTTGACACGCTGAGCAGCTCCCAGCCCTCTGGCACCACAGAGGCTGCACCACTCCTGGGCAAACCTCCTGTGCATCCTTCACCCACAAGGCTTAGCCCAAGCAAGCAGGAGCAGAAAGGTGAGTTCAAGCTAGCTGCCAGCTTCAGCAGCCTGAAAGCTGACAGGTCTCAGGCTGGCCAGGACCTCTTGGTGAGTCAGGACTCTCCAGCAGTGGCACAGCTGCACCTTTCTGGGAAACATTCATCAGAGACAGATGTTCCTGGTCAGAGTGAGCCAAGGGCACTGAGCCAGCAGTATCAGCCTCCCACCCCTATGAGAGATAAAGTTGTGGGGTCAGCAGCAGAGCCTCAGCAGAACGACCCCACAGAAAGGGACCATGTGGAAGGAGGTGCCAGACTCACAGGAGAAAAGGTGCTGATGCCTATTGCAGGCAAAGAAAACAGCACTTTTCAGCATCCTGAGGACTCTAAAGGCTCAGGTCCCTTTGGGTACCACTCCCTTGCTGGCATCTACAGCAACTGTGATGTGACATGGACCCCTTTTGCTCTAGGCTGCAAACCCTCAGCATCCAGCCCTGTGCTGAGACGGTCCAACAGCTTCTCCCTGTCGAGGTCAAAGGAAAGCAGCAACTCTGGAGACATCAGCAGGGTGAGTGAGGAGATAAGCCTGGACACTCTGCAGTGGTTTTACCTCAAAGATGTGTGCCATGCTGCTATTGATGAGCTGTGCAGGGCTGGAGGGGTGCACATCTCGGAGCGCCACGCCGATGACTGCACGGTGCTGACGCTGCAGGCAGAGGACAGGAGAAGGCTGCTCCAGGCTAAATGGAAGGTGGAGGATCTTGTGCAGAAGTGCCCTGACTTGGTGTGCCAGAGTGTGAGCTACTCAGAGCTTGCTGTCAGTGGGCCAGATGACAGTGACCTGAGTGAATTGTGCAGCCTCTTGCGAGGAAAATCCTTCCAGGTTGGACTCAGCAAAGACAAGTACAAGCTCTACCTTGCCTGCCCCAAGGAGATGCTGCCAGGAGTGAGTGAGGCCTTCCACATGTTTTCCTCCAGGAGGCTCTGTGCCATGAAGTCTTCATCCCTGTCTCCTGGACCAGAGAGTACAGAGAAATTGAGTGTCATCCAGCCAAGCAGAAGCCAGGACCCAGTGCTGGATGTGGCCCTTCCTGGCGGCCTGAGTTCCCCACAGCACCTGAACATCATCAATAAAATGGACTCTCCACACGTGCTCAGGGCTTCCTGGCTGCCAGAGGCTGAGGAAAAGGCATCCCCCAGTCCTTGGAGGTACCAGCAGGCTTGGGGGCAGGAGGAGGCCAGGGGCTGTGTTGATTCTGGGGCTGGCAGACGAGGAAGCAGCCTTCTGAGCCTTGGCACGGGGGATAAGCAAAGCCCTCCTGGCCTGAGGGAGTTCCAGGAACAGCGCAAGACAAAACTGACCCTGGGGGAGCCCGACAGCCCCCGGCTGAAACAAGTCTTGCCAGACAGGTTCCAGTTGGCAAGAGACAAGAGCAGAGGAGGCCACAATGAAGCAATGGGACAGCAGCACTGCCCAGTCCCTGCAGCTGATGAAACTCCTCACTCTCTGCCCACCTGGCTACCCAGGGCTGTGGCTGCTGAGCCACCACCAGCTGTGGCCCAACAGGCACCTGCAGCAGAGCCCACAGATCAGGGAAGGGCCCAGCTCCCAGGGGGCAGGAGCAACGAGCAGGAGGAGCCTGAGCTCCCATCACAGCAGAGAAGAGAGCCCAGCCTTGGCCAGGAAAGCAGCACCATCCCTCTGGAGCAGTGTGATGCTTGCCAGGGCTCAGGGGTGACCTGCCAGGGCTCCTGTGGTCACGCCTTGTGCAGGACATGTTTTGCAGCAGACAGTTTGCAGCCAGCTTGCTGTGACTCCTCCTCAGATATCCCAAGCTGCAATATCCTGGGGACACTGAAGATCTCCTCCCTGTCTCAGAGCCTGCCTGGATTCTATCCAGACTCAACATTTCAGCTTGCTTACAACATCCCTGATGGAGTGCAGGGGGTAGGTACCACACAGAGCTTCCCCATCCCACTGCAGCCCACACAGGGGGGGGGCTGTCACGGTGGTTGGTGGGGAAAAGAGCAGCCACAGCTCCCTGGCCCACAGAAAAATCAGCAGAGCTATTAACCTCTGAAAGGCAAAAAGCTCCACAGCAGGTTTTGGAGCAGCTTGCTGCTTTTCAAAAGCAGGTGTGACCTCTGGTTTCAGTTGACAGTGACTATCAGCCCATGGGGATCATGGTCATGAGTGTAGTTTTCAAGCTAGACAAACCTTAGAAATCCCCTCAGAGGCAAAGCATTCCAGCCATTGTTTAAAATGTCTTATTCCTGTTCCAAGGTTGGGGACCCTCGCCCAGGACACCCTTACAAAGGGGGGAATTTTTGTGCCTTCCTGCCTGAAAACACGGAAGGGGTGAAGATAGCAAAGCTGCTGAAGAGAGCATTTGAATGTGGGCTGACGTTCCAGATCAAGTCCTGCAATGGAGAGGAAAGAGTAACATGGGGTCCTATCCCCCACAAAACCTCCTGGGATGGAGGCAAAGCCAGGTATGGCCCAGCTCATCCTGAGCTTCTGGGTATGGTTGTGGGTTTTTTAGCAATGGGAGGAGGAGAACCAGGGGCTCCAGCTCAACAAATCCTGGCAGGGATGGCACAGTGGCAGAGTTAGTTCTTCCTTTTGCTTCAGCTTGCAGGGCAGCTATGGCATGGAAGAGCAGCCCTGGCCCTTTCCAGCTGGAGCAAATCCATCCCACATCCCTAAGTGGTGTGTAAACCTGTAATTCCCCATGGACAGGAACTGTGGGCCCCGTTCACTGACAGCCTGTGCTGGGTACAAGCTGTGCCTGCAGGCAGCAGGACATCCCAGAGGCAGAACTTCCCCTCTCAGCCCCTCAGAAAGGGTGGGACAAAAATAAAGGGCTGCTTCCCACTGTGCTTTTGGCACATCAGGATTTACAGTGCTTCCTCTCTGCCCCACAGGAATGGCTACCCAGATGCCCAGTACCTCCATGAGGTTGGCACAGTCCTCAATAAACTGGGCCTTGTGTGATTCTCTCACAGCCTGTGGCTTCCCTTCACCTTCTTTTCCTGCTGAGAACTGCAGCTTCACAGAGACAGCTCAGGAAGAAGCAGGTGTTTGTTCAAAGAGCTCCTTCTTTCCCCACATGTAGCCAGAACTCTGCACTTTAGCAGAGAGCAGCACCTCTGTCCCTGCCCCATGCAGGCCTCTGTGCTTGCCAGAAACTCCAGCTCCTCTTGGATGCATGCCCTGAAATCACAGAGCTGACTGCAGCCTGAGTGAGCCCTGTTTGCCTCCAGCAGCAGACACAAACCTGGGCAGGAGTTTGCATCTCATCCAGCCCCAGCTTCTGGAAGTTTCTTCCAGCTCCTGCCGCTACAGAGAGGTTCCAGCTCAGCTGCTGCCAGAGCTGGGGTTGGAGATGAGCTCTCCTTAGTGTCAGCTTTCAGGCCAGCAGGTGACCTGGGGCTCTCTTGAGGAGAACATTTAACAGCTTTCAGCACCCACAGCAGCTGCCTCCTCCCAGGGACAGTCTCCATGCTGACAAATAAACAGGATTTATTCTCATGTTTGGTAGTGCTGTTCATGCCTTGTCTTACCCTCAGCACAGGCACCCACTTCAGTCCCACCTGGCTACTGCCACACCCAGATATGAAATGCAGAGCCCAGATAAAAGCTTCACAAGCAAAAATCACCATGGCTGCCCTCAGGATGAGTGTCAGGAACAGCACTCCAGCCAACAGCTGTCCTGAGAGCAGAGGCATCTCCTGCTGGGAGCATTACACTTTGTCAACTGAATCTGCTGTGGACAGAGGGTTCACCACCACAGAAAACTGAGCAGCACTGTGAAGGTTTTGTTATGCTTTAATTACCATTTGAAACACATAAGGCATATGGTAACGTTTGACAGAGGAGCAGTACACATTGTAGTCATGTAAACAGCAGTGGCACAGTTGTCTTCTGTCCAACTCGGTTACACAAAAAAGCGAAATATATTTTTTAAACAAAAGATTTGCTATGTGTCTGTAGGATGAGCAGCACTCATATCACAAATCTGCAAATCAACACAACTCAGACAGTACAGACCAGACCATATGCTGCAAGAGGCTCACTCAGAGTCTAACACATTTCACATCATGCTCATGTACTACTTGCCAAAAACACTTTGCCAGCACGAGGGCTCAGCACACCAGAGGCTTCAGCAACTTGAGTGGATTCACACCTATGATAGCAGCTGTCAGCAGGCCAGAATCCTGCTCCAGCTGAAGCCTCACACACACAGTGCTTCTTACTTCTCCCTGGTTAATCCATTCCAGTTTAATACAGGTGTCTGAAACAAATCCTAGAGCTGAGCTCCTTCCCAGAGCACTGGGCAGGGCTACCTGTGCTCCCTTCCCCTCCTGCAGTCAGCTTGCAACACAAGTGAGCTTCAGAGAGTCAAAAACGTGGCAACTGCTGCCTGGTGACAGCAAAGGAGTTGCATTCTGTCCAGGAGCAGCAGCACCAGGCTGGGAGCCACTACAGCAATGACAGGAGAGGCACTGGCACCGAGCCCCCTGCAGCAGGCAGGGCTGGGGGCGCCTCCTCCACCCACCAACTCCTTACACTTCCACCTGCACTCCTCATGGCACAACCTTTGAGTCAAGACAATCAGTAAAATAAACATTAAATTGCACTTCTGGAATGGCACACATGATTAAGTACAGCAATCTCCCAGTTCCTCAGTAGCACAACTTTGCCCTAAACAAGCAACACTGAATGGAATGATTTTTATCCTAGGGTTTCATTTTGGTTTTTTTGCTTTGGTCCTTAGTACACAAACTGGCTGGTTAACTGGATTAAGACACTTGAAGTTGTTTTACACAGGTTTTATACTTAACTGGCCCATAAAAAAGAAAAGTAAAAAACCAAAACACAACCAAACCACACCCACCTGGAGCAGAACTTTGAGCAGAGGATTGCAAGGTTACATTTAATCTTGGTCTTCCTGTAGAAAACACTGTTGCTACCAAGAGACACAAAATAGTGCTGACCTCGAACAGGCAGTGACTGCTTGGCATTCCTGCCTTGATAAGGGCTTCAGGAATTTCTGCTTAGAAAGACATGTGAGCCCAAAAAGAGCCAGGAGCCAGGATTGTTTCTAAAGAGCCAAGGCTGGAGCAGCTGATAAAGCCTCACCCTGGAGCCAAACAGGTCTGCCCTGGGAAAGACAAGGGCTTTACAACAGATCTTATGGACTGGGGGGTACAGAAGCACCAGAAAGGCTGGAACACCTGGGGAGAGAACAGCTAACTCATGGAAAGTCCAACAACATCACCAGAGTTCACAAAACAGAGCTAACAAGAGTCAAAACAGTGTTTTGGCAATACTTGGAAAGGCCAGAATGGAAAAGGCCCCAGTGACTTCCTAGTCATGTAGCAGAAGGCACCGAGATGCTGTTTGCTGTGGCACACAGGAGGCAGCAGGGCAGAGAGAGGGCTCTGAGGGGTCTGTGAGAGCCCTGCCACACTGCCTGACCAAGGCCATCCATGTAAGGCACTGAGCACGAGACTGGCTCAGGAAAAAGCAGGGAGAGAGAGGATGTGGCTGTGAAACACACCAGAACAGCTTCCCTTTTACAATCAGAGGATGTGCAGGGTTGTGTGCCTTTTGAGCATGCTGCCCTGGCATCAAGGTGAAGTCCAGTTTCTCAGAGGAACAGGTCCAGACTTTCCATTTCAGCAATTTAGACAGTCCTTCTGTTTTCACACCTGGTAAAGCAGCATTAGACAGTGTTGGATTCAATCTAAATCAGCACAACGGGGCAGGCTGAAAGAAGCAGCAAGATTTTGGATTCAGAAAGGTAAAAAGTTGTGCTTGAGAGTTCCATCAGCCTGTGTTTATGAAATTCAAGAGATGAACTGACAAGGATCTGTGAGAGGACTCCAGCACTCCTCTGAGGTTGTAGGGAACAGGATTGTTGCAATATTTAAAGTTAGCCAGGGGAAAACCCCTGCAAGCTGTGCCAGTGCATTTCTAAAGAACTCTGGACTGAGCCCAAGCACCTGAACCCCAAACTGCATTGGCAGAGTCCCACTGAGCAGGCTGAGGGAGAATTCAGAGAGGAACTCCAGCCCTGGGTGGTGATGGGGCTGTGTGCCCAGCCCTGTGCCCAGTGGGTACCTGCCCTCCTTGGGCCCTCCCTGTGGGCTAATTGAGCAGGATTCTAATCTCAAGGTTTTGCTTCTGAAGCACAAGTTCTTCCATGATGGGCAGCTCTTAGTGCCCTTAGGTTTACCATTTCAAATCCAAAATGAAGCCCAAAAGCCCACAACACCTATAACCCATGCCAAGTAAGCACTGACAGCACCAGAGTGGCCCAGAGCTGCAAGCAGGGTCCAGGACAGCATCACCCAGGGCTCAAGGTGGGCTCAAGGACTGCATCACCCAGGGCTCAAGGTGCTCACAGAGCTGGGCTTGGGTCTCTACACAGCTCTGTTTCCAAATGAACACAAGGAAAGAAAAGTAGAAGAGGAAACAGTTCTGGTATAGGGAGGAGCATCCAAGCAGCTCCTAAACCCTCAGTGCCAGAGCCCCAGGACAGATTCAGGGGGAGAAGAGCCAAGCCCTGCTGCAGCAAAAGAGCTGGGAGACAATGGAAAACTGCTCAGAATGTGCAGGTAAAGAGGCACATTGACACACAGCTGGGCTGTTTGTCATCTCACCAGTGTGCCACAGGGAGAGCCAGCCCAGGCTGCAGGGCAGCCAGCCCACAGGAGGGGCTCCTGAAAGTTCCTTCCCAAATTGCAACTCCTCCTCAGTGCACAGGGCACTGCACAAAGCATTAATAGGGGATGATTTTGTTTCCATCTCACTCAAGTCCAATTCAATACTGCAGCCCTTGGAAATACAAAGACAAGGGTGAAGCCCTAACAACATCAACTTGGAGCCCAACATAATAAAGCACAGAGCCAACATCAATTGTTCCAGTTGTTTGAGACACAGTTGAGTCCTTATGGTCTCTAAGAATCAGACACTGCTCAGATCTCTCTATACAATTTGGAAACAGAAAATGGACAGGATCAGGTTATCTAACTGAAACTTTTCTTCTGTAGTCAGACATAGCCCAGCCCAGCCTGTCAGGGGATTTACAGACTGCACAGAGAAGTGACTGCAAATGGAGTGTGATCTGCAATAGGCTCCAAATTGCCAGGATGGTCAAGGCAAAACCAACATGAGCTGTTAATATCTGGCTGTGTTAGTGGCCTACAAAAAGCAGAGGGAATAAAGCCAGGTTAGTGTGAACAGAAGAGAAACCCCTGCTTGAATTTAACTAGGCCAGCTGTGGTTTTCCTTTGGCTGTGGAGGAAACATCCTACATTTGGCCAATCCTCTGCTGAACAGACTTTCCCAAAGCTGAGAGTGCAAATGCTTCAGCAGGGCTCAGTTTCTGCAGAGACACTTGGCAGTTGTTACAGTACTTTGTGCCTTGACTTTACAGTGACAGGCTGTGCAGTTGTCAGTCACCAACTGCTTGGAAGCTTCAGCTTCACTGCCAGAGAAAAAGGAGGTTAGTCTGGAAATTCAGTGGAGAAACAAGTGGTTAGAAAGCAGTATGAAATAAACAGGCTTCAAAAGAGAGAGCAGGAGGCATGTCTGGCAAAGGGTCAGTCACAACAAGAGCATGCAAACCTCATCTGAATGATAACCATGATGTTCTTGTACTGGTGAAAGATGGGAGATACTGATCTGTCCATTTCCAGGTCCCAAAGAGATCAGGGAGTTAAACCATGAATTCATAATCTGCATTCATCTTTTCTCCTTAGTTCTCTGCTTTTTTAGATTCTTCCTTGGGTGCTTCAGGAACCAGGATGACTTTTCCAACATTCTTCTTTTCTTGCATCTGCTTCATAGCCTCTGCCACCTGGAGGCAAAAGGAGTCTGGTGAGAACCCCACCCAATGCAGAGGGCATCCATGCCCCTCCTGGGCCCCTCAGCACCTCCAGAGCAGTCTGAGGCACAACTGGGAGGCTTTCCTGGAGTTCAAGCATGTCCCAAGCATCCAGGTGCCTTGCACAGGTGTGTTTTGGACAGACCTGGGCAATTACCCCAGCAGGCCTATAGGAAACTATCAAGAATTCACACAGCCCAACCTAAACACACACACAAGGAGGGTCTGCTCACACAAATGTGGAAGGGCAGTGTGTGTCACTCTCCAAAGGGAGGAATCCAGCAACTGCTAGGAGGACAAAGCTTCTACCAGCTACACAAAACAATACATGCACAGAATTGTATCATTTTTATCATTATTTTCAAGCACCTGGGCTAGGCCTGGAATCAAAGCTTTCCTGAAGCCTTTGCATCAGTTCTCAGGTATGAGCATTACTAAGTTCTT